CATTAGGATGTTCTTATATATTTTACCCATAAACTTTTATTTACCTACATTCTGTAATTGAGATACATCTGCGGACTGTAAACGCAGCTGCGTTAGTTCTTATAATTAATAAATGATCCCACTGACGAATGCTTGGCTATATAGTCTATATCTACAACCATATGCTGACATTAAAAATTACAATTAAACGACAGCATCCCGGATATCGAAGGTACGCTAAGATGCAGTTCCATCTTTCTGTTATAAGTTTCAATAGTTAGCTAATTCAAGAATTTTGTTTGATAAAAGCAGTTAGCTGCACCGATTTCCATTACAAACATATGTAGAATATTAGCTCATTGTTACCAGCTAGTATAGTTACAATGTTGTTATATGGCATGAACCTAGGTTGATAATAAATAATTCTCTCCAGCGACAGAAGCTTATTCCTGTCCGTGTAACCCCACCTATCGGTCATTTAAAGGCAGCTCGTTTTCTTTGCAAAGGCTGAGTACATAAAAAATTATTTCATACAAAAAACAAGTTTGTTTACGGGCTGTTATTATTTTAGTACCTAATAACGCATACTTTTTTTGTGTGTTCTCAAACTTTTTATTATTCCATAACGTCTACACGAAGAAAATAAGCCCCATTTTACGACAATAGAACGAAATTCGGGAAAAGTACTTAAATAAATAATTAAACAGGGAATGTTATGAACGACATAATACGTACCTAACCAGTTGACGCGCTGCGCTGGCGCGTAACGATGGCGTAAAACTTTTATTGCTGTTACGCTATATTTCCCTTAATATTTTGATAAATACGTTAAGTCCATAGGATAACGACCTAAAACATATCTATATAACAGGCTGCGATCGTAAAAGCTCGAAAGAGAATAAAGAAAATTATTATATCGATTTCGAATTATTGTAGATAACCGCTCTTTGATTGTGCCTTACTTGACAAAGGTTTCTTATCTTTTCAACGAAATTGAAGAGCTGCTATTAACGAGATTTCTGATCCTGCAAGCACTGAAAGATCTTTCCTTAATCCGTTTTGTATGTCTGGTACAGTTAAGGCGTTAACTTAAGTAATACGGGGATACAGTCACTAGTACATGCATATATACCTACTACGTTATTCATTTAGACTAACATTAAATATTGGGAATGAAGGCTTGACTAAATAACATGGTTGACTAAGTTGCAAATCCTAATCCTAACTAATATAAATGCGAATGTAAGTTTGTTTATTACCACTTCACGCCTTAACTACTCAACTGATCATCGTGAAATTTTGTAAACATATTCAAAAGGATGTAGGCTACCTTTTATCCAGAAAAGAAATACTGTTCCCGAGGGAAAAAGAAATATTAGTTTTACGTGGTCGTCGATTATCTTTGACACATATATATTTAAGATATTAGGTAAAACCTAGTTTAAAATAAATATGTTCATTTTGAATAGGTGACAGTTAATTTAATAATTTAATGCTTTCTTTAACTAAAATCTTTAACTGAATAAATTCAAAAAATATTATTACGTAATTAAGTAATTTCATTTTATATAATATATTTTAAGTTGAAATTAAAACTAACATTTGTCACATATTTACGATACAGGACGTCCAATAATTCACAGTTAATTTCTTATTACTAACAAAAGATTAGTAGAAATCGTGTCCTTTATAAAAGCTTAAAATTTTCTCATTTGTTTGCAATTAGTCGTTATTTACTTACTCCACAATTCCACAATAAGTAATAACTTTTATTATAAGTGCAATTTGTAAACTCTCATTTCTCAATAATTCAAAAACACGTACAAATAGCTACTCTTATTTTGACTAATTTTTCAAAATTCCAAATATACTTTTAATTTATCACACTTTGGGAAGTATAGAAGAAGAGATTTAAGTTTTTATTTAGCAGCTCCTAACAGTACAGATACATCTGATGAATCTAGAAAAATAGCAAACAAGACGTTATACACAAACTAAAATAATGTAATGCAAAAGCGAATATAAATATATAAACGAATAAAATACATGTTCATAATTTTACTTTTCATAGCGTTAGGTACTTTCTCTGAGATTTCGCGAAACATGGACAGTGGGAGCGGCGGAAAAGAAAAGGTTAGAAGCGTTTGAAATGTGGTGTTATAGACGGATGATGAGGATATCGTGGGTAGAAAAGGTTAGAAATGAAGAGGTATTGAAAAGAGTAGGAGAACAGAGGACTCTATGGATGTCAATCAAAAATAGGCGAGATAGGCTGGTAGGACACCTTCTCAGGCATGAAGGTCTAGTCAGAGACATATTAGAGGCAGAAACAGGAGTTAGGAGGGGTAGAGGTAGACCTAGATTANATCAAAAATATAAATATGTATATAGAATTTATTTTCTTTTGTTTTAAAGTTCTATTTTAAGAAAAAATACGATGCTTCGTTATAAGAGAAAATCTCAAAGAAAAAAAGATTGCTTAAAGTGAAACTCTCTAGGGCATAAACGTGCAAATATTGAACTATACATAGACTTTTGAGTTATACAAGAAAAATAATTAAGAGTTTTTCCTTTGACTTTATGTATTCATGTAGCTGTTATGTATTATGCACAGAAAGAAGTTAAAACAAAATAAAGGAGATGACCACGATGACATTCACTTCGTTTGTATTGTTATAGGTATATGTTACCATAACCTTCTGATCATGTTCATCATCATCATCATAGGGTCGTTAGCTCTAAGACTGGTTGGATACGCACCTCCACTCTTTCCTATCCTGAACTAAACTTCGCATTTCCCTAAAACTAGAACAACCCACATCCTTAACTATTTGTGAACAGTAATCTAACCTAGGTCTACCTCTACCCCTCCTAACTCCTGTTTCTGCCTCTAATATGTCTCTGACTAGACCTTCATGCCTGAGAAGGTGTCCTACCAACCTATCTCGCCTATTTTTTATTGACTTCCAT